CTATTCTATTCTATTCTATTCTATTCTATTCTATTCTATTCTATTCTAGGGATAAGTCTTTCAATGCTCATTACCCATGATACATAAATGGCAGAGCCTCTATTTTAAAATAAACGCAACTCCCCAAAGTAGGGGATTGAAAGAAAGACGTTTATTTAAAAACTTCCAAGAGGCAAATGGAAACATCCTTGGCTAGATGGACTTTCCCTGATGGCAACCAAGAGATTTGGGTCCTTCAAAGTTGCCCAGGGCTTTTAGATCATCTCCATATCAGGGAAACAAAAGTCTCAAATTTTAAGATCTCCTTTACGGGTTTTCTTCTTTTTCTTGCTTCTAGGTTGCCTTTGTCCAGAAGAGATTCCACAAAGACATTTTCTACAACCCTGTCCTGATGCTGAATTTCTGCCCCGAGATAAGCAGCGTTTCTACTAACGTTCAGACGGTGACCAGGGAGATCTTCTTCCTTGTTGACCAGACGGGAAGCGCAAGTGGCTCCAGCATTGATGGGATCAAAGTAAATAGATTCTTACATTAGCGATACGTGAGAACCTGCCTTTTAAAAAAGAGTCATAACCATTGGATAAAGACCCCCTTGAGCTGAGTTCAGCTTAACTCCACGATCGTATCCATGTAGCTGTCTTAGCAACTTAACAGAAGTGATTTCCCATTGCCTTCTTTCTGGAATGAATAAATCTAATTTAATGGCCAGGCATTCTTTAATATGATGATTCCTTAATCACCTATTTAATCATTTACCCCTTCTGTTACATTTTATTTATTATTTGGTTTGTCAATTGCTTACAAGATAATAGGTATAAGTAAAAACATAGTTATGAATACATGGATGCATATAAGAAAAATAAAAGAAACAATGGGACAGGGATGGTAGGCACGTTGGTGCGCTTATGCACGCCCCCTACAGATCTGTTAGGAGATGACACTTACATGACATCTTACATGACACTTACCACTTAATGACAACTTTTGGAAGTTGTGGAATAAAGAAAATAAATATCCCAGATGGACAATTTCAGACGTGTTTTTTTTTTAGAAAAAAATACTAAATATGATAGGACTTTTTTTCTAACTCAGAAGTGAGGGACTTGGCCTGGACTGCAAAATTGGAATCCAGGTGTTAATGGGAAGAGTAAGGCCAGTTTTCCTTGGGAGTCAATTTTCACTTTAGGTTTTCTTAGCAACAAATACAGAAATGCTTTGCCAATGTTGTCTTCCACAATGTTTTTTTCAACCTATCTGCCTGGTCTGGTCTAGACTTTTCTGATAAGCTCACTTTCAATTACTAGCCAGGTTTGGCTCTCCTTAACCTTATGAGGTCAGGCAAGGCAGCTGGGTGCTGCCATATGACATGGAATTAAGAACATAATTTGCATCTGGTACAATATTTGTATCTCCCTGCAGTCTGATTGTTTGCTGCGTGGAGTCACTTGCTTAGGTTGGGCAGGGATTGAAATTTAATTAATTAATTACAGCGAGTGCTCCAGAATGAGGGTTGCATAGTAGGATAGGATAGGATAAGATAGGATAGGATAGGATAGGATAGGATAGGATAGGATAGGATAGCATAACAAGAGTTGGAAGGGACCTTGGAGGTCTTCTAGTCCAACCCCCTGCTTAAACAGGAAACCCTGTTCCATTTCAGACAAATGGTTATCCAATCTCTTCTTAAAAACTTCCAGTGTTGGAGCATCCACAACTTCTGGAGATAGTATTGAAGAGAAATGTGGATTCTCAGGATAACATAGTTGAAAGGGATCTTGGAGTCCCTTGGACTCCTCCTCAAACAGGAACCGCTGTACCATTTCAAATAAATGGTTGTCCAATCTCTTCTAAAAACCTCTAGTGTTGGAGTACTCACAACTTCTGAAGGCAACTCATTCCACTGATTAATTGTTTGGTCAGGAAAAAATTTCTCCTTAGTTCTAGGTTGCTTCTATCCTTGAAAGTGAATTAGTATCAGGAAGATCTAGGTCTTCCCTCAGCTAGAAATCTCCAAGTCGCTTTGGGCAAGTTGCTCCCCTTTCAGCCCAGCTTCCTTCATATGCTTGTCATGGTGGGGGATAAAGAATGCTATGGAGGCCACCTTGGTCTCCCGCAGGAAGGGCAAGAAATACCCCTGCATGATAACCTTGACTTTCTCTCCCTCTTCCTGTGCAGGATGCTCTGGTAGTGGCCATAAAGAGCCTTCCTTCCAGCACGTTGTTGAACGTGGCAGGCCTTGGCCCCAACATCAGGCCTGCCTTCAAGATGAGCAAGCCTTGCAATAGTGTGAGTACCTACTCCAAGGTGGCAGAACCACCCCAGGGCTGCGCTGGGAATTCATTAAATTTGACAGAACTCTCCGTGACTGTTCTAGGACAGGGGTCAGCAACCTTTTGGACCTCAGGGACCACCAAACTCATAATTTTAAATCCCGCGGACCACTAATATGAATTTTGACTGACAGTGGCCTGCTGATGTTGGGGGGGGGGGGGGGGGGGGGAGGAGAGAGAGAGACAGAGACAGAGAGAGAGAGACAGAGAAGGCTGTGATGTTCTCATTTTCTCCCTCCCTCTCTCTCTCTCACTCTCTCACACACACACAAAATATACACACAAATACAAACACACAGAGGTCTATTAATTAATTGCTTTGGGAGTGACATTTCTCTACGGTCCACCAAAATTTTCTTGTGGACCACCAGTGAGCCATGGCTCACCAGTTGGTGACCACTGTTCTTGGCCAGTTGCTGCTGGCTTGCTATGGCTTACAGGAAGAATGTCCTGCCCCATTGCAAGTCTTCTCTCTCAGCAGTCTGATCAACCTAGCAACCAGCCCTTTGATTAGGATTTATTTATTTATTTTAATTTATTTATTTGATTTGTCAATCGCTTACAGGATAACAGGTATATATATAAACATAGTTATGAATACATGAAATGGATACATATAAGAAAAATAAAGGAAACAATAGGACAGGGACGGTAGGCACGTTGGTGCGCTTATGCACGCCCCCTACAGACCTCTTAGGAAAGGGGTGAGGTCAACAGTAGACAGTCTAAGGTTAAAGTTTTGGGGGTTTGGGGAAGAAACCACAGAGTTAGGTAGAGTATTCCAGACATTGACCACTCGGTTGCTGAAGTCATATTTCCTGCAATCAAGTTTGGTGTGGTTAACCTTGAGTTTGTCTCTATTGTGTGCTCTTGTGTTGTTATGGTTGAAGCTGAAGTATTCGTTGACAGGTAGGACATTGCAATGTATGATTTTATATACCATACTTAGATCAGACCGAAGACGGTGTAATTCAAGGATAATCAAATCTTGTGGGTAACTTTGAAATCTCTGCCTGGTAACTTAAATCCACTGCATATTGGGTAAAGGGTAAAAATAGCCTAGCTGGGCTTCATTTATTTTGGGATGAACAGGTCTAGCAACAGGCTAGAACAGACTCGTGATTTAATTGGGGTAACTGCCGGAATCCTGACACCAAAGTTCCTCAGCCTCTGGGAGTTGAAGTCCACAAATCTTAAAAGTTGCCAAAGCTGGAGACTCCTGCCTTATATTGTCTCTGTAAGCTGTTTATTATCTCCTCAGGACATCGTGAGACTGGCCTGCGAATATATTCAGAAGCTACGGGCTGATGTGAGTGGCACCAGCCTCCTTGCTGCTCTGAATTGGAGTTTGGGACAGCCCCTCCGCCGGGGATATCCACGGCAGCTCTTTATCCTGTTGGATTCCAGTGTGGAAAACCCAGGCAAGGTTATTGAGCTAGTTAGGAGACAAGCAAGCACCGTCAGGTACGAAGTTATGTCGACCGGCCTCAAACTTGGGGCATTTCTTTTTCCCAGGCTGCAAATGTTACCTTCCCAGATGTCTGGCCCTTAGAAACACCTTTAGGAAGAAAAATTTCCATATTGTGAGCTTTAAAAGCCAATAGACCAGTGGTGGGATTCAAAAATGTTTACTACCGGTTCTGTGGGTGTGGCTTGGTGGGCGTGGTAGGGAAGGATACTGTAAAATCCCCATTCCTTCCCCACTCCTGAGGAAGAAGGTTCCTGCAAAATCTCCATTCCCTCCCCACCCCACTAACCTGCTTTCCAGCTCCGTTCTCCTCTGCAGGGCCACCAAAGAAGACCCAGCTGATCAGCTGGAACTCAGGAGGCAGAGAATAGATGAGGGCGGGGCCAGTCAGAGGTGGGATTTGGCAGTTCTCCGAACTACTCAAAATGTCCGCTTCTGGTTCTCCAGAACTGGTCAGAATAGCACCTGCTGAATAGCACCTCTGCAACAGATACCTGCCACAAACAACTTGCCTGAAAGTTCAAAATAATCCACACTGAAAATGTGTAGAAGCAATTGGGCAGACAAACTGAGGAGGGACCTTCCCCCGCTCCCTTATATGGGCACAGTGGAGTACACTTTCAAACCAGGAAGGGGATCACAATAGCGTCCTCCAAATGATGTGCAGTTTGCCACTGCTGCCCATTGCATAACACAGCTGACCCTAATGATATAATCTGCACCATTTGTGGGATGACACACGCCCAGGGAATAGGAGGCTAAAACATATGGGGGAAAAAATTGCAGGAATTGTGTATGTCTAGTTTAAGAAAAAGAAGGTTTAGGGCTGACATGGTAGCAGTGTTCCAATATTTGAGGGGCTGCCACAAAGAAGAAGGGATCCATCTATTCTCCAAAGCACCCGAAGGCAGGACAAGAAGCCATGGATGAAAAATAACCAAGGAGAGAAGCGACCTGGAATTAAGGAGAAATTTCCTAATCAGTGGGATGGCTTGACTCCAGAAGTTGTGGGTATTCCATCACTGCAGGTTTTTAAGAAGAGATTGGACAACCGTTTGTCTCAAATGGTAACAGATAACTGGTAATCAGAGTTGGAAGGGACCTTATAGGTCATCTAGTCCACCCCCCACCCCCCGAGCAGGAGACCCTACACCATTTCTGACAAATGACAGTCCAGTCTCTTCTTGAAAGTCTCAAGTGATGACGCTCCCACAACTTCCAAGGGCAACTTCTGTTCCATGGGTTGATTGTTCTCACTGTCAGAAAGTTTCTCCTTATTTCCAGGTTGAATCTCTCCTTGTTCAGTTTCCATCCATTATTCCTTGTCTGGCCTACAGGCACTTTAGACAATAGTTTGACCCCTTCCTCCTCTCTGTGGCAGCCCCTCAAATATTGGAAGACCTCTATCATGTCTCCCCGGTCCTTCTCTTTTCTAGACTAGCCAAGCCCAGTTCCTGTAGCTGTTCTTCATATGTTTTAGTCTCCAGTCCTCTAATCATCCTGGTTGCTCTTCTCTGCACTTTTTCTAGAGTCTCAAAATATTTTTTATAATGTGGTGACCACATTTTATAATGTGGTATAGGGTCTGCTTCTTGGACAGGGGGTTGGGGTCTCCTCTTGGGTGGGTTGGACCTGATCACTACCGGTGGGCCGTGAAAACATTTTGGTGGGCCTCAGAGAAATCTCACCCCCAGAGCACCCCCTCAAAGCAATTAATCCAGGCTGCACAGAAACACAAGGCTGCTCAGCCCACATGGCCCGCGGGAACAATCCCTGCTCACTCACTCCTTACCTGGCTAATTTGCCTGCTAAATTGCTATTTTTCCTTTTTCCGACCATCATCTGTTCTGCTGTGCCAGGAGATTTAGATTAGCTAGGAAGCAGGAAATGGTTGGATTTCTTGCTTTCTAGGTAGTCTTTAGATCTTTGGCTCAGCACAACCGAACCTCCCTTAGGACTGAAGGTTTGCTTGCAAACAAATTCAGTGCAGACTCACGGCAAGCAAATTTGAGAGACTGAGCTAGCCGATGGCAGATAGATAGATCACTGAATGATTCTGTGAGCAACTTGATCTGCTTGCTCTGCCTGATTTTGGGTAAAAGTTGCTCTTTTTAAAAAATAAAAAATTCAATATTTATATGCATGGTGTGTTGTGAGTTAATTTTGTGAGTTTGCTTGCAAGCAAATTTTATGTGACAGACTGAGCTAGCTGATGGCAGATAGATAGATCTCTGAATGAATCTGTGATTCTGTGAGCAATTCAATCTGCCTGATTTTGGGTAAAAGTTACTCTTTTTTATAAAAAATTCAGTATTTATATAAATATTTATAATATTTACATACAAGCCATGCCCAGCCAGTCATATGACCACCAAACCATACCCACAAATTAGGCCATGCCCACAGAACCAGTTAGTGGTCCCTGGGATCTAAAATTATGAGTTTGGTGGTCCCTGAGGTCCAAAAGGTTGGCGACCCTGGACTAGAAGACCTACAAGATCCCTTCCAACTCTGATTATCTGAAATTGAAGCTAGAAGGTCCCTTTCAACTCTGTTATCATGTTATGGTGTGATGCGTGTGATATCATTTGCAATGCCATTAAGCCAATTCATGCCTGAAGAACAGCTGGAATTAAGAAGTCGCAGCTTCAACTCTGATATATTGGTGATAAGGACAGATGTAACATTTGGCAGCAACCAAGATGTGGCATGACTGGACCAGTGCATACAACCAGCGCAATTTAGAATGAGATGAATAAAAAAAAAAGTGGCAGTTTTGTCTGTAAAGTCCAGTCTTTTACTTCTTACAGGTGTTTCACATTTGGCTTGGGGTCTGCTGCCTGCCATCAGCTCCTCAGGAGATTGGCCAAAGTTAGCAGAGGCCAGGCAGAATTCCTCAGCCCAGGTGAACGGTTGCAGCCTAAGGTACGGCTCTTATTCCTTGGATGATGCTTTTTATTTGATCATGGGTTCTGATCCAGTCCCCAGGTTTGGGTGGTGGGAAGTTAACCCCAAACATCAGACCACGCCTATCATAGAGCACCAAAGCTGATGAACTATGCCCAGTGGTGGGATTCAAAAAATTTTTTACTACCGGTTCCGTGGACGTGGCTAGGTGGGCGTGGTGTGGCTTGGTGGGTGTAGCTTAGTGGGCATGGCAGGGGAAGGGATACTGCAAAATCTCCATTCCCTCCCCGTTCCTGGGGGAAGCTTACTGCAAAATCCCCATTCCCTCCCCACCCCACTAGCCTGCTTTCCAGCTCCGTTCTCCTGTGCAGGGCAACCAAAGAAGACCCAGCCAATCAGCTGGGACTCAATGGGAGGCAGAGAATAGACGGGGGCGGAGCCAGTCAGAGGTGGGATTTGCTGGTTCTCCATACTACTGAACATTTCCGCTACCGGTTCTCCAGAACTGGTCAGAACCTGCTGAACAACACCTCTGCCCTGGTGTAGGCGAATGTTCAATATGCTTTCTTCCTCCCCGCCTTCCCCCCCCAGCTGATAAAGTCTTTGAAGAAAGCCATTGAGCCAGCTGTGAGTGACATCACCATCGACTGGTATGTGCCTGACACCATGGAGGCCCTGCTGTCGCCCAACGAGATTGCGACTCTTTATCCCGGAGATCGGCTCATCAGCTACTGCACCCTTTACCACGTTGCCAGTTTCCGGGACAAGAAAGCAACAGTTGAGCAATCATTTCCTTACAAAGTAGAGCTCTCCCCAGGGTGGGAAATCATCCCTGGTTTCACTTGGTGACTATCTCCTGGATCCAATATGCCCAAAGCCTTAGTTGGCCTACCGCGTGCTTGAGGGGTCCTTGGTGCTCTCTGAGCTTGCAGACGTTTCATGACCCAACTAGGTAACATCATCAGTGCCAGTAAGGGGTGCTGTTTGCTGTCAGTTTATGTTCTGGTGTCTTGCCTGTGTGTGTGTGGGTGGAGGTTCTTTGGTAGGGCTGTTTACTGATGGCTCTTTGGCAGTTCCTTGATTGCTCACTTGATTGTGGGTCTGTTGGTCTCACATGCGTCTTGGGGTCTCTCTCCATATCGGGGTGTTCATCTCACGCATGGACAAACGTCCAGGTGGGTCCTCGACTTACAATCACAATTGGGAGCAGAGTTTCTGTGGCCGAGTAATCCAATGAGTTTAATGACTGTTTTTGCAGCACGTGCTTGTCAAGCGAAGCGCTGATGTTATTAAGTGAATCACAACAGTCCTTAAGCGAAACCGGCTTCTCCCGTTGACTTTGCTCGACGGATTCCAGCTGGGAAGGTTGCAAATGGCAATCACATAGCCATCATTGATACATACTGGTTTCCGGGCACCTGAATTTTGGTCACAGGACCGTGGGGCTGCTGTGACGGTCATAAATGTGAGAAACGGTCACAAGTCACTTTTTTTCGGTGCCTTTGGAAGCTACAAAGGCACTGAAAAAAGTGACTTGTGGCCACTTCTCACATTTATGACCACTGTCATTAAGTCAACGTACGTCGAGGATTACCCATATTGCTTTTTTGTTTGTCGTATTTCTTAGGGCAGAGAGCAAATCTACCGAAGTTTCTCTAGAGGATCTGCAGGGCTGGCCTTTCCATCCCAGGAGGGGGTAGAAGGACAGGATGGAACCCTCCCACCTTCAGCTGGAGATAATCCAGAGCGTTGCAAGGGCCTTCAGGACTTTTCCCAGGAAATATCCATGAAGTTTTCACCTGGGGACACCGAGGAGTCTATGAAGAGTGAGTGCAGGCCTTGGAAGGCAATATTCGTATCGATTTTAAAGGAGGCAGCAACTTGGGACTAGATAAGAGTGCAGGGCTCCTTCGGCCTTGTTAGGGATACACCCCTAGCAGAATCTGCACGGCAGTCAGGCAGGCAGGCAAAATATGTGAGATAAACGTTTTTGTAGCTTACACTCAGTAAAACAGATACAATGTGCTAGTTAAATAGTTTATTCCAGTAAGAGTTATAGCATAGTCAAAACAGTCCATATATCATTCACTAATTCAGTCTGTCCAGGGATTATTCAGTGGTAAAGTCCAGTGTTGAAAAAGAGAGGTCAGTAAACTTACAAATATCAGTCCAGTAATATATCTCCTCTCCGTAGAGATATGAAGAAGTCAAACCTCCTTTCTTCCTTCGAGGTTCAGCAACTCAGCAGTAGGGAACACGCAGTTAGCAAACCATCAATCCATCAAACCAGCAATCGTCAGCAATCCAGCAGGTTCTCTTGCTCCCTCTTATGGCGGTTTCACAACCACACCCAAAATTACATGCTTTGCAGTTTAAAGTGACACACACTTAAACTTACTATCATAGTTTATATATATTATTTTACCCAAACTACGTTAGGTAACCTTGTTATTCCTATCAGGCCTCTCTGAGATTTGGTTGTTTTCTCGCAGACATTTCATTACCCAAACTAGGCAGGGGTGGGATTCTACGGGTTCGGGCCGGTTATATAGAACCGGTTGTTATGATTCAGAGAACTGGCAAATCGTACCCCTGGCAGGCCCCGCCCCTGTCCGCCTGCCCCTCCCTTCTCCGCCCAGTCAGTCCTTAAGGTATTTCTTCTTTTTTTTCCCCCTCCCGACAATCCCCCTCGCTGTCTTACTGGTTCTTCCAGGAAGGTTCCCTGAGGCCCAGGAGGCAAAAAGGGGTGTGCGGGGATGGTGTGTGTGTGCAGGGAGGGAAGCTGTGTCCCCCACCCACTCCAAGAAGAAGGAGGAGAAGGAGAAGGAGAAGAAGGAGGAGGAGGAGGAGGAGGAGGAGGAGGAGGAGGAGGAAGAAGAAGAAGAAGAAGAAGAAGAAGAAGAAGAAGAAGAAGAAGAAAAAGAAAATAATAATAATAATAATAATAATAATAATAATAATAATAATGCCCACCCAGTCACATATCGGGGTTCCCACAAATCCCCCTCATTCAACGCAAAAGCCTCTAGCCGCATTTCAGAAAAAGTAAATCAGTTTATTAGAAATGGCCCTGTTGGTGTGTGGCTGGGTGCAGGCGGTACTGAATCAAATCATACATTTCCCCCTTGACCCTGATCTTTCCCCCACCCCCTGGATGTGACTTCTCCAATGGGACACATCCGTCTCCAAGAGTCATCCATCACGCTCTCCAATAACCTTCTCACTCTCTGACAGCCTTGGGCTGCTGAGTTGATTATCTAGGCATTTCAAGAATGTCTTGTTTATCCCCATTCCCTTTTTCTGGCGGCTAAAAAGACCAAAGGAGTATTTAGCTTTTTAGCTGACATCACATGGCCATGCCCACCTAGCCACACTCACAGAACCAGTTGTTAAAACATTTGAATCCCACTCCTGAAACTAGGTAACATCATCAGTGCTAATGGGCAGAGTTCAGTCTAAAAAAAAAAAACAGAATTGGCTGCAGAGCCAATGCTCCGGGGTGTACACTTCTTTCCCAGACTGAGGGTGCCTCAGGGACTGGAATGACATGCTGCAGGTCCACATTCCCAAAAAGTAACAGGACCCAAACAAACAAAATCCTGCGATGTTAATTTTATTTGCGTTTACATGACATTAAAAATGAAACTACAGCAAACAGGGTTAACTCGCCACTCTGTACTGCCTTTCATCGTAGTTTCCCCTTTCGGTCCACATGAAAAATTAATGTGATCAATTAATGAACGATCACAGGAGCATTAAAGACATCATTGCAACCATGAGCATCCTCACTCTTAACCGTATCTTGCACACAAGCCTTTCCAAGACTAGAGGTCTCCCCCTGGGGCTTTTGTTTATATATCTCTGCACTTACACAGTGAATTTCCCCCTTAATTAAGCTACAACGAGGGGATTTTTAATAGCACACTTCTTGGCCTTTGGAGCTGAGGGTGGGATTCTACTGGTTCAGACTGGTTCGGGCGAACCGGATGTTAAAGTTACATCTGGTTCACCCAAACTGGTATATCAACCAACCGGCCACCCTGTCCCTCCCTCCCCAGGAGTCTCCACACAATGCAGGTAAGTGCAGGATCTGCATGGAGGCTCTGAGAGGGGGGAAAAACAGCCCCCCTGGAAGTCCCGGAAGTGGAGAAATAGGCCTGTTTCCGGCTTCCGGAAGGCCTCTGTTTTCACCCTCCCGGAGGCGGCAGAGGAGGCCTCTGGACCCTTGGGAGGGTGAAAACGACCTCCCCCCAGGCTCTGGAGGCCCATGGGAAGCCGGAAACAGGAAGTTCCAGTAGGCCGTGCCCACCATGGCCACGCCCACCCAGCAACCGGGCAGAGACCCAGTTGCTTGGATTTTTGACTTCCAGCCCTGGGTAGGTGGGATAGAAAATACCTTGGCAAATTCTCTAAGCCAATCACCATAAATTATTTTCCCTGGCAGGTGGAGATCCGGTGTCTGGAGGAGATATCTGGAAGAGGATTTACCAGCCTTCCTACATCCAGGAGCAATATGTGCTTACTCACTGCTCGGTCAGCACCGACCCTAGTCAAGCCTTATGCCACAGCTCTACCAGCAGTGAGTCTACTGGCTCCAGAGACGTACCGCTGGAGGAAGGCTCTTTAGCCCAGACTCTTGAAAGCACCTCTCAGCAAGGACAGAAGAGTGTGTCTCTCTGCAATTCTTCCACTAAGTCTGCTCCAGTAAGCCAGACTCAAACTGGGGCTATAGCTAAGGTGAGGAACCTCAAACTCTTACCTTCTGCATTTCTCCAGCATTTTGTGGAGATGACAGGATAATGGATTTGGAAGGGACCTTGGAGATTGCAGGAGGGCCGAATGTCAGCCTCCAAGAAGTTTTCCTGACATCTTTTGCTGCTTGACTCTTGCCGGCTTTAGGAAGGCTTCTGCAGGCTTTTCAGGATGAAACTAGGCCCATTTTGTCACTTCCTGTTATTCCGGAAATACTGGAAGCGACAAAAAGGGGCCTAGTTTTCAACCTGAAAAGCCTGCAGACACCTTAAAGCCTCTGGGAGGCCGAAAAAGGCCTAAAACTGGCTGAAAATCAGTTGTGAGGCGCAGTGCAGGTAAGGTGGGCAATGGGGGGATGAGTGGGTGGGTGGGGGGATTGCAAGCGCATGCATAGGGGGCATGGTGGTGTGCGCATTGCCTTCTGGGTACTGGCACGCGAGTGCGAGGGAAGCCTCTGCAGTCTCGGGAGGCCGAAAAACGGGCTTTGCAGAAATACCGGAAGTGCTGAAATGGCCCCGTTTTCAGCCTTCCAAGCTTCCCTCAAGCCCCTGGGAGGGCAAAAACGCCTCCCCCAGGCTCCAGAGGCCCTCCGGAGACGGAAAATGGGCACTTCCGGTATTTCTGGAAGGCCCAATTTTCGGCCTCCCGAGGCTGCAGAAGCTTCCCTCAAACCTCCAGGAGGCTGAAAACAGCTGAAAACAGGCCGAAAATCAGCTGGGAGACACACACATGCTCAGTGCAGGTAAGGGGGCAGGGGGTGTTCCACACACATGTGCAAGGGGTGGCGGAGCACATTGTATTGTGGGTGCCAGCACCTGTGCGCTATCACACCCATGCTTTCGGCCCACCACAACAAAAAATTTCGCCATTACTGATCTAGGTCCTTCGTGGAGAATCATTTGGCTTTCTCAACATCATTTCCAGTTTAGACCTTTCTCTTTTCCTCTCTCTGAAGGTATCCATTGCCCTGAGCTCCGAAGAGTTGATGCGTAAGAAGAAAGCCCTGGCTCGGACTGCCATGTCTGGACGTAGTTTCTCTTCCCCGCATGGCGAGTTGGATGCCCATCGGCTGCGCCGAGCCCTGGAAAAAGTATCCCAGAAACCCATTCGGTCTCTGGAAGGGAAGTTGGATGAGATTGGGCCTGAGCTGCAGAGGATGCCCAAGGCTGCTGAGGAATCCAGTGAGTGGAGGGAATGGAGAAAGTTGGCGTAGTTTGGGAACAGGGAGGAACAGGAAGAGAAGAACGAAGAGGAAAGGTTGAGATTTTTTTTTACCAGTGTGTAAAAGTAAAAAAGATAGCAAGTGTGATGGAATGGTTAAGGTGTTGAACAAGACCAGGGTGACACTGGTTCCCAGCCGTGGGAACGCACTGGGTGACATTTGGGCCAGTTGCGCGTGCTCAGCTCAACCTATCCCACCGCATATGGGGATAAAAATGAAGGTCTCTGTGTTAGCTGCCTTCAAAAACAGGACAAAACCCAATAAAATTTATTGAATAAATGAATATAACATTTTAAAAACTGCAAGGCAGATTTCATTCCGACCTAAGCTGAAGCAGATCCCATGTTGATGGCTGGCATGGCTTTACAATCAGCACCACGTCAGTGTTCTAAGCATGGGGAAATGAATATTCATGAGCTTCGGCGCTTGTGATTCACAGGAACTTTCTGAACTAATGGAAGAGTATATACTTATTTATTTTATTTGATTTATTTGATTTGTCAATTGCTTACAAGATAATAGGTAAAAGGATAAACATAGTTATGAATACATGAAATGGATGCAGATAAGAAAAATGAAAGAAACAATAGGGCAGGGACGGTAGGCACGTTGGTGCGCTTATGCACGCCCCCTACGTGCATTGGGGTTGAACTGTGAGATCCCTGGTGCTCTCTCAGCTTGGTTATGTTCTTGCAGACCTTCCACTACCCAACAAAGTATCATCAGTATTAGGTATCAATCAGTGGTGGGATTCAATTTTTTTTACTACCGGTTCTGTGGGCATGGCAGGGAAAGGATACTGCAAAATCTCCAGTCAGAGGTGGGATTTGCCGGTTCTCTGAACTACTCAAAATTTCCACTACCGGTTCTCCGGAACTGGTCAGAACCTGTTGAATACCCACCTCTGATATCAATAGAAGAAACTATTTATAGCTCAGGGCTAAACTCTGGGGTCCTTGCTCTTCTCTGAGCTTGGTGGTTTTCTTGCAGATCTTTCATTATGTAACATCACTGCTAGATACTAATACAGAGGTCTCCAAAGTCCAGCTCTGCTGGCTGGAGAATTCTGGGAGTTGAAGCCCACAAGTCTTAAAGTTGCCAAGTTTGGAGACTTCTGTTCTAATAGAAGAGAATATTTGTAGTTCAGAGTGGAACTGCGGGGTTGTTTTCTTGCAGACGTCTCATTACCCAGCTAGGTAACATCATCAGTGCTTGCTGGGTAATGAAACGTCTGCAAAAAAAACAACAACCACTCAGCAGGTTCAGAGAGCACCAAGGACCCACTTTCTGGATTACCTGAGCAGACGTCGTTTCCTTTTGCCAACCTTACCTCTGCATCCCAATGGCTTACTCTTTCCTAGGCCACTTGCTGTCGCCTGCCCATCTTGACTGGGACATGCTGTTGGAGCCCTCTTACCTTTTCAGCCCATCACCAGCCTCGGAGCAAGGAATGTCCAATGGCAACCCCTTGCCTCCTCTCCAGTGCCAAGTGGTGATCCACGCCCTCAGCGCAGGGGAGCCCGTCTCCTGGGAGGTGATCGGTGGCCTGGATTCCTTGTTCCTCCCCAAAGACAGCCGGGGACATTCCCAAGGACGGCAGCCACCGCTGCCAAACACAGGATTGGAGAAGCAAGTTCACCGCCTGACCGCTGCCTCCGTTATTCGGGATAACGAGACGGTGGCTCAGAGAGAAGCAGAAGTGGAACACGGTAAAGTTCCTCACGTTTTCTTTGCCTTTCTTTGCTTGAGCAGGGGGCTGGACTAGAAGACCTCTGAGTTCCCTTCCACCTCTATGCTGATTGATTGATTGATTGATGAGCTAACAACCGGTTTGGGGATAGGTCTGTTCCTCCCTCCCCCACCAAAAAAAACCCAGATAACAGATAATCAGAGTTGGAAGGGACCTTGTAGGTCATCAATTCCAACCCCCCACCCAAGCAGGAGACCCTACACCATTTCTGACAGATGGCAGTCCAATCTCTTCTTGATAGTCTCAAGTGATGGCACTTCCACAACTTCCGAAGGCAACTTCTGTTCCATGGGTTGATTGTTCTCGCTGTCAGAAAGTTTCTCCTTATTTCCAGGTTAAAATCTCTCCTGGTTCAGTTTCCATCCATTATTCCTTATAATAATGCAGTGCAATTCTCACTGCCCTGATAATATGTATAATCAAGTATTTAATCTTTTGGGGGTATTTTCCCTTAATGATCCCCAGGAGAAACAATTCAGGCTTCAAGTCTATTCGACAATGGAAAGATCCTGAGTGTTAACTGAGTGGAACCGCAATTCTAAAATGCATTAAAGGATCGAATCACATAATTCTCTCTCTTCGGTGGTGGGATTCAAATTTTTTTTACTACTGGCTCTGTGGGCATGGCTTGGTGGGCGTGGCATGGCTTGGTGGGCATGGCAGGGGAAGGATACTGCAAAATCCCCATTCCCTTCCCCCCCTCCCACTAACCTGCATTCCAGCTCCGTTCTCCTATGCAGGGCAACTAAAGAAGACCCAGTGTCAGGGCTCCAACAAATCCACCCCCCACATTCAAATCAAAAGTCTCTAGCTGCATCTCAGAGAAAAGAAAATTGATTTATTAGAGGTTGCCATGTTGGTGCATGGCTGGGTGCAGCTGATAGTAAATCACATCATATATTTCCCCCTTGACTCTGGTCTTCCCTGCACCCCCTGGATGTGGCTTCTCCAATGGGACACATCCATCTCCAAGAGTCATCCATCATGCTCTCCAATAACATTCTTAGGCTCCGACAACTTTGGGCTGCCGGGGTGATTATCTAGGCATTTAAGGAATGCCTTGTTTTCCTCCACTCCCTTTTTCTGGCAGCTAAAAAGACCAAAGGAGTATATTTTTAGTTGACACCCAGCCAATCAGCTGGGACTCAGGATGCGGAGAATAGAGGGGGGCAGGGCCAGTCAGAGGTGGCATTTGCCGGTTCTCCAAACTACTCCAAATTCCCACTACTGGTTCTCCAGAACCTGTCAGAACCTGCTGAATACCACCTCTCTCTCTCTCTCTCTTTCTCTTCCTTTTTCTAGGTTTCTTCCGAAGGTTTCGTCTTAAAGCTGTCCAGTCAAGCAAGGCTTGCAATCTCCCTTCCATGTTTACCTCCGTGGTGCCTGTAGAGTCTTCCACAAAGGAGGCCTTGCCTTTAGCACTTCAGGTTCGCAGCACAGGTAGGACTACCTGGAGTGGGTGCGTAATTATCTAATTTCTATACTGCCCCATCACATTTGCGTGACTCTGGGCACATTTTTAAAGTCCAACAGTAAAATCGTATAAAAGCCACAGTTGAATGAATGAATGAATTCTTTATTGGCCAAGTGTGATTGACACCTAACTCCAGAAAAGATCTTCTTGCTAGAGGCAAATTTTTAATCTTGGGAAGAGAAGTGACATGTGAAATCCAGGGGTTTGCTGACTCTCCACCTGCCTTCACATAACCCTCTAGAATGGAATAGAATGGAATGGAATGGAATAGAATAGAATAGAATAGAATAGAATAGAATAGAATAGAATAGAATAGAATAGAATAGAATAGAATAGAATTCTTTATTGGCCAAGTATGATTGGACACACAAGGAATTTGTCTTTGGTGCAAGTGCTCTCAGTGTACATAAAAAGAAAAGATACATTTGTCAAGAATCATAAGGTACAACACTTAATGATAGTCATAGGGTACAAATAAGCAATCCAATCATACTAGGAAACAGTCAGTCTAAATCGTAAGGATGCAAGCAACAAAGTTACAGTCATACAGTCACAAGTGGGAGGGGATGGGTGATAAGGAATGATGAGAAGATTAATAGTAATAGTAATGCAGATTTAGTAAATAGTTTGTCAGTGCAGAGGAAATTATTTGTTTAGCAGAGTGATGGCTTTCGGGGGGAAAAACTGTCCTCGTGTCTAGTTGTTCTGGTGTGCAGTGCTCTATAGCATCGTTTTGAGGGTAGGAATTGATACAGTTTATGTCCAGGATGTGAGGGGTCTGTAGATACTTTCACAGTAATTTCAGTTTCCCCGCCCCTCCTTTTGGTAATTAGTTGCATCATATAAATAAATATTTATTAAACACCAACTTATAAATAAATGGAAATACATTTGATCAGTTCTTCAGTTCAGTAAGCTTAGACAGTGGGCTTAGCAAATTTATGGATGGGAGATACTGGTTAGAGTTTTTTTTCAAATTGCTAAGCTAGGCTTTTTTCCCACTCCACTTACCTTTTTGACTTTCATTGGCTCATTTTATTAAAAAGGCCTGGTCTTGTGCTTGAGCTTTGCCTCTTGACAATATTTGCTATCTTAGCCTCTGACTAAAGAAGAGAGGGTTGCGTTTGACATCCAGAGCTGTGGGAATAAAAAGTACTACAAAAACAGTTTTGTTTTAAGATGAATGTTCATCGCTGAAATGGCAGCAAGAGAGTTGGAAATATGTCTAATCAACCTGACTCTGTTTTCTCCCAGACGGTGTAAACAACCACCAGAAAGGGTCCCGTTTAGTCAATCAGCATCACCGTAGTTACTCGCTAAGCCTGGGGCAGAGACAGGATTCACAGGACTTGGAGGATGCTCTCGTTCCTGCAGGTACAAACTTCGCCTGTGTGCTTTGAAATTGGGCTTTTATTAACATTGGATGCTGAGCTTGTCGACTGGAAAAGTCGGCAGTCCAGGTTCGAGACCCAAGCGACACGGGGCAGGGGGAGCTCCCGCCCTCAGTCTACCAGCTCCTGACAGCCTAGCAGCTCGAAAGCATGGAAATGCAGATAAATAAATAGGGACCACTTTGGTGGGAAGGTGACAGCGTTCCGTGATGTTGTGTTAGCCACATGACCACGGAAACAGTCTTCGGACAGTGCTGGCTGAATGGCCTTCATACAGAGATGAGCACAACCCATGGTGACACAGTGGTTAGAATCGGGGTGGGCTTCGAAAATTTCAGCGCAAGGTTCTCTGCTGGGTGGGCATGGCTTCGTTGGCCTCCTGCACCGCAGATGGGGGGCATTTTTGCTTTTCTGAAGCCTCTAGGAGGGCAAAAATGGCCCCCTCTGGGCTCCGGAGGCTCTTTGGAAGCCAGGAAGGGGCCCATTTCCGGCATTCTCAAACTTCCAGGATAATTCAGAATAATCTCAGTCGGTGCTCCATTCAAAATCCGAGAAAGAAATACTTAAGACTCCGTCAATTAGAGGAAAGAATTCTTTTATTTGAACAATGAAGTGGTAGCATCAAACAGGATTCTGAATCTGAGAATTTAGGCGCGCAGATCACATAGACAAAGCGATGAACCCCCCCATAGTTCAAAGGACTCTTCCAATTAAAAGTCCTGAATATGATCACGCGGACATCTTCAGGTGGTGATGAGGCCTCTGTCCGTTGACCTTGGCATATCTTGATAAAAGTTTGCAGCTGCGGCAGAGAAAAGAAAGCTAACCGAGAAATAGAAACTTGAAAGTAGGAATTTATATTCCCCCCCTACTCCTCATTTACACAACGCAAAAATGTAACACCTCCGGCTCTCTTCCCAGACCATATCCCCCCATCCTCCCCCCCGTTACTTATGGCAGCCCAAAGATGCAAAGCAGTAGATCTTGAAGGCTGACACCCTCCCTGAGCTTCCGTGTGCAACCTGCACTTACCTTGCATCCAAAACGGGCCACTTGGGGACTCCTGGGAGGGGTGGCGTAGGCGGGGCCATCCAGGAGTGGGATTTGGGGGGGTCTCCGAACTGCACAGAATCTTCACTAGGGGCTCTCCTGAACCCCTGCGAACCCCCAGCAGTTCCCCACCCCCCCCTGGTTAGAATGCAGTATTGCCGGCTAACTCTGCCGACTGCCAAGAGTTCGATCGTGATTGTTAGGGATACACCCTAGCAGAATCTGCACGGCAGTCAGGCAGAATATGTGAGATAAACGTTTTTGTAGCTTACACTCAGTAAAACAGATACACCGTGTTAGTTAAATAGTTTATCCCAGTAAGAGTTTTAGCATAGTCAAAACAGTCCATATATCATTCACTAATTCAGTCCGTCCGGGGATTATTCAGTTGCAAAGTCCAGTGTCGAAAAAGAGAGGTCAGTAAACTTACAAATATCAGTCCAGTAATATATCACCTCACAGTAGAGATATGAAGAAGTCAAAACTCTTTTCTTCCTTCGACGTTCAGCAACTCAGCAGTAGGGAACACGCAGTTAGCAAACCATCAATCCATCAAACCAGCAATCGTCAGCAATCCAGCAGGTTCTCTTGCTCCCTCTTATGGCGGTTTCACAACCGCACCCAAAATTACATGCTTTGCAGTTTAAAGTGACACATACTTAAACTTACTATCATAGTTTATATATATTATTTTACCCAAACTACGTTAGGTAACCTATGATATTCCTAACAGTGATCGGCTCAAGGTTGGCCCAAGCCTTCCATCCTTCCGAGGTTGGTAAAATGAGGACCCCGTTGGGGGGCAATATGCAAATCACTTAGAGGTGAAGCATTGTGAAGCAGTACATAAGTCTAAGTGCTATTGCTATAGTCGGCAATGACCAACAGAGTAAAATCCACAGAGACTTCTTCATTACGTACGTTAAACATGTATGAAAACACGCTTGGGGGAAAAAAAACAAACTTAAGGGAGCGCTAATCAAACTTAAACAAGCACAAGCGCCGGTGTTAGATCTTCTTGTTTTGGTTTAGCAGGCTGAGTGAACCCAGAACAGTGAGTGCCCATCAGCAGAGGGAGGGGGCAGGAACCCAGAACAAGTAGCTAGGGGCTTTGAGAAAAAAAATGTGCAGAAGGTGAGAAGGGATGTGTGGGTTAAACGTAGCTCTGTTCAGTGGTGGTATATATATATATTTTTACTACTGGTTCTGTGGGCATGACTTGGTGGGCGTGGTGTGGCTTGGTGGGCGTGGCAGGGGAAGGTTACTGCAAAATCCCATTCTCTCCCCACTCCACTAACCTGCTTTCCAGCTCCATTCTCCTGTGGAGGGCAACCAAAGAAGATCCAACCAATCATCTGTGACTTGGGAGGCAGATAATAGATGGGGATGGGGCCAGTCAGAGGTGGCCTTTGCCGGTTCTCCAAACGACTCAAAATTTCTGCTACCAGTTCTCCAGAACTGGTCAGAACCTGCTGAAGACCACTTTCTGGCTCTGTTGTTCTGGGTAACATCCAGTGGGATATTTTGTAAAACTTATCTCTTCTTGGAGTAGCCTTCCTTGACCCAATGAATTAAGTGGATATACTGGCTTGGTAATGTGGGAGTTATAACCCAACACATTTGGCCACCACCTTTTTTTAAATGCTGATTTATATTTTTTTAGCTTCACGATGGAATAATAATTCTTTTGGCAGTTTTTCTGCAAGCCCGCTGATCTGTTCAAAAAAATATTCCTTTTCACGGCCCTCCCAAATCATCGCTCCAGGGTGCACTTTCACCTCTGGCGTTGTGCCTTGATTAAGTTTTAGAGCCTCCTGCTGGAGCTAAATTCTGGAAAAGGAAAGAAAAAAGGAAAAAAAAAAAGACTGTTTCTCTCCCGCTTCTATTTATACTCCCAGGAGCGAGAAATAGCTGTGCTTCCCAGCAACTGCACGTAACAGAGAGCGATTAAAATTGGGAGTGTTGGATCAGGTGATCGGATGAGCCATTCTGCCACAATCTGCATGGAAGCCAACCTGCGTAGTAACTCTTTCGTTGTCTTGGCTCACGCTTGCTTGAGTTCACCCAACCTCTTTTAAACCAAAAACCACACTAGAAAGTGACTGTTTCCAAGCTCACATCATTGGGCTGTGCCCAAATTACAGATAACAGATAATCAGAGTTGGAAGGGACCTTGTAGATCATCTAGTCCAACCCCCCTGCCCAAGCGGACTCTGCACCATTTCTGACAGATGGCAGTCCAGTCTCTTCTGGAAAGCTTCCAGTGATGAAGCTCCCACAACTTCTGAAGTCAATTTTCTGTTCCATTGTTCTCACTGTCAGAAAATTTCTACTTATGTCTAGGTTGAATCTCTCCTTGTTCAGTTTCCGTCCATTATTCCTTTCCTGGCCTTTGGGTGCTTTAGAAAATAGCTTGGCCCCTTCCTCCTCTCTGTGGCAGCCCCTCAAATATTGGAAGACTTCTCTCTTGTCTCCCCTGGTTCTTCTCATCACTAGACTAGCCAGGCCTAAGTTCCTGCAACCGTTCTTCGTATGTTTTAGTCTCCAGTCCCCTAATCATCCTGGTTGCTCTTCTCTGCATAATTTCTAGAGTCTCAACATCTTTTTTATAGTGTGGTAACCAAAACTGGATGCAGTACTCTAGGTGTGGTCTTACTAAGGCTTTATAGAGTAGTATTACTACCTTACTTGATCTTGATTGTATCCCTCTGTTAATGCAATTTAGGATTGTGTGGCTTATTGCTCTAGATCAGTGTTATTGGTTTAGGTCAGTGGTCGCCAATCAGTGGGCCGGGGACCACTGCTGGTCCGTGAGAAAATGTTGGTGGTCCGTAGAGAAATGTCACCCCCAAAGCAATTAATCCAGGCTGCGCAGGAACACAAAGCTGTGCTCCCCCACATGGCCCACAGGAACACAAGGCTTGCATTGCTTGCATTGTGAACAACACGAAGTAGTGAGGGGAGGGACGAAAGGGTGGAACTTGCCCCCCACACCCCACGTGCCTGGCTTGGCCACTGAGTTGCTTCTTTCCATTTCTTTCTTCTTCTGCTTTTGGCTGCAAGCAAGGAAAGCAGCAAAAGTCTCTCTTTCTTTCTCTCTCCCACAAAGACTCATTTCTGGCAGAGTTTGGGGGAGAGAAAGAAAGACTTCTGCGGCTTCTGCTGCTTTCCTTGCATGAAGCCAAAAGTCTCTCTCTCTCTCTCTCTCTCCCCCTGAGAACGGAGCTGGAGACGGTATCCTGAGATCCCAAATAAAGAATGATCAATAGGTAGGAAAACGGGCTGAGGAATTTTCCTGCAGACTTTTTGGGGGATTTTCCCAGGGTCTCTGGTCCGCGGGATTTAAAATGATGAGTTTGGTGGTCCCTGAGGTCCAAAAGGTTGGCGACCTCAGCTCCAGATCAATGTTTCTCAACCTTGGCTGCTTTAAAATGGGTGGACTTCAATTCCCAGAATTCCCCAGTGCAAAACGTAATCACCGAACCGTAACGCCGGTAATCACTGAACCGTAACGCCACCCTTGATTGTAGCAGATAATGTTGTGCACTGCGCTTTAAGTCCAACCGTTAGGAGGCGTAGTTCAAGGTTGTCCAAGCCCAAATCTTCTGTTGGGCAATGGTCAATTCCAACTTTCTTAATTTCACTGTTGTCCAAAAGCTTCCCAATACGAGGATAGGCTGAACGCCATGAGAACATCCTGTGTTTTTGGAAGGGACACCCACTTAACACCTGTGTCTTCCTTTGCTTCCTAGAACAAGAAGTTCCTCCTTCACCAGTCAGTGTTTCTTCAGCCACCCAAGCCAGACCAAGCTGTCCTAGTGGTAAGTCTTGCTCACTGTGGAGCCCGGGGCAAAAAGGAAGATCTGGTCAGGCATGTCCAGGTTGCATTCGAGTTTTGAGCTTCGGTGTTGAAAAACAATAGAATAGAATTAGAATTCTAGAACTAGAACTTTGGAATTATTAAAATTCTTGAATTATTAGAATTATAATTTTAGAATTAGAGTTAGAATATTAGGATTAGGATTAGGATTAGAATTAGAATACTTCATTTGGCCAAGATGTTTAGAAACACAAGGAATTTTGTCTCCAGTGCAGAAGATCTCAGTGTACATGCCAAAGAACAGAGTAATATACCTATATATTATACGTTACTATACAGAGTAATGCATAGTAGTAGCACTGTCCTCATGAGTCTCTCTCTCTGTCTCTCTCTCCCTCTCTCCCCCTCTCTTCCCCCCAACAGGAGCCAGCTCCAGTCCTTCTCCTATTTCTGAAGGCTCCCTGAAGTCAATAGAGAATTTCCTAGGCCGCAGGTAACGCTTTCAAAGCTACCGCTCCCCTCCAGCAGAGGACTCCTTTGGGTGGGCGTGAATGGGGCAAAGAGTTGTTTGGCAGAAAGATCATTCTTTGATTGACACTGGAGCAAAATGTCCATCTGCCCGTGGTGGCTCAAAAGCAGTAGCTGTGACAGAGATCTTGGAGTCCTAGTGGACAGTCCCTTAAATACGAGGTAGCTGTGTGCTGCAGCTGCCAGGAAAGCGAGCGCAATCCTAAGGTGCATTAATAGAGGGGTACAATCAACAGCATGCGAAATATTAATATCACTTTTATCACGTCTTGGTAAGATGACACTTGGAATACAGATAGGCCTCGACCTCTGACCCAAACTGCTGTTGCTAAGTGAAGCATTTGTTAAGTGAGTTTGCCCCATTTTACAACTTTTCTTGCCGCTGTTGTTAAGCGAATCACTATAGTTAAATTAGTCAAACTGTTAAGTGAATCTGATCCACCCGCTCCATTTTTTTGCCTTCCTGGGCCCCAGGGAAGCTTCCCCGGGAGCAAAAAAACGCCCCCTCTTGCGCCTCAGGGGAGCTCCAAGGGGGGGTTGTTTTTGACCCCAGAAGGCTTCCGTGGGGCCCAGAAGGCCCCAAAATGGAGTGCAGGGGGGCTGCATGCCCCCCCATGCTCAGTTTTTTTTTCCATCCTGAGCCCCAAGGAAGCCTTCTGGGAGCAAAAGCACCCCCCCCGGAGGCTCCCCTGAGGCCCAGAAGGCCCCAAAAATGGGAGGGGGGGTTTCTGCAAAAAAAAAAAAGGAAAAAAAGGCCACACCCACCCAGTCACATGGCCACGCCCACCTAGCCACACCCAAAGAACCAGCCGCTACAAAATTTGAATCCCACCCCTTCCAGAACAGTGTAGAGCAGGGGTCTCAAACTCAAATTTACCTGGGGGCCGCTGGAGGCAGAGTCTGGGTGAGGCTGGGCCGCATAAGGGATTCCACAAAAAAGGTTGTTTAAAAAAAATATCCTCAAATGTTATACTTTCATATCACGGCGGGGGCCACAGGATATCGTCCTGCGGGCCGCAATTGGCCCGCGGGCCACGAGAATGAGACCTCTGGTGTAGAGTCTCCTGTCCTGGACGGTTGGACTAGATCTCCAAGGTCCCTTCCTACTTTGTTACGGTGTCATTGCTGTTGCTTAAGAGCAGGGGTGTCAAACCCGCTCACACTGTGGGCCGTATTGCGACGTGTCAGGATGGTTTTTCTGCCTTTGCGGAGCCAGGTTGGGCATGGCCTGCGTGGGCCCAGGAGTGGCCTGCGTGTGCCATATCCAGCCCGCAGGCCACCAGTTTGACAGGCCTGGCATAGAACCTTTTTGGTCAACTCACCCAGAGCAGCCCATGGAAGGTGGCAGAGCTGTGATGAACCTACTCATTGTAAATTGACACTTGATAGCTAAGGACCTTGATGGAAATAGCTTTCATTCGTGGCTGGTCCCTCTCAGAAAAGGAAGGCTAGCTTGCATGCCGGTTAGGTAAGGAACGGAGACTACAGTTCAACTGTGGCCTGATTAGGCAAGGTTTTTGTACCCAGATGGCTTTTGTCTCTGCAGACTCAGTGGCCAGCGGAGACGCCAAGGCTTAGCTCTACGGCCACAGTGCCTGAGCCCAGAAAGTGAGCTGTCCCCAGGTTGTGACGGTGCCATTCACGACTACCTCCCCCTGGTAAGATCTCTTTCCCCATTTGAGTGCTTGTTAAAAGCCAATTGTTATAAGCCAATCAAACTCTGACTTTTTTTTTTTTTGCTAGACTGTCGGCTTGCGATTCGAGTCTTTGCCCTTTCCGCCATGATAATGAATGTGAACAATGCTTTGGGGCTGCTTTATCCCTCTTTAGAACCCCCAGGGCCAAATTCCCGAAATGAAACAGGTCATGGCTCAGGAAGGAAAGCTGAAATATACCTCTGGCTGTGGGGCTCTTGGTGCCGTCTGAGCTTGGTTGCTTTCTTGTAGACGTTTCATGACCAAACTAGGTAACATCGTCAGTGCTAGTAGAGTTAAGAGAACATACTCCGTTCCCTCCTAGCACTGATGGTGCTAGTTTGGTCGTGAAACATCTGCAAGAAAGCTGCTAACTTCTGCATCTTGGAATTCTCTCTCTCTTGTAAATTTGTAATGTTGGTTTTATATATAGAAGTGGCACGCAAAGCCATTTCTGTGGGCACGCGAGCCATCACCCCAGCTCAGTTCCACTGTGCACGTGTGCACCTTCAGGTATCTGTCACGCATGCGTGGGAGGCGAGGCGCATGTGGGAGATGCGTGCGTATGTGCAGAGGGGGCAAGGGAAGCACGGGGGGGGTCCCACATGCATTGCATTATGGGTGGAGGCACGTGCGTGTGCTCTCATGAACACGATGACAAAAAGGTTAGCCATCACTGGCCTAGAGCCCTCCCTGAGGGAGATGGGTGGGTTAAGAAGATATATAAATAAAATATATACATCAATCAATCAATGGAGCTCAGAGAACACGAAAGATCCCAGGGTTCAACCTTGAGCTATTCTTTTCCATCCGTACCTCCTCCCCAGGTGCAGCTGCAGCAAGCCCCAGGCATGTTCCACCTGAACGAGGCCTTCTCTGAAGCGGTGCAGATCCCCCTAGACCGCTTGTGCCGGGCTTCTCCTTATCCCTCCCACCGGGCTAGCCTGAGCCCTGCTTCCAGCACTTCTCCGTGGGCTCTGATTGCCAAGAACCCCACAAAGCCCTCAGCGAACCAGCCTCCCGCAGAAGCCGATGAAGAGGCAGTCAGGACAAGCAAAGAGCAGGCCATGGAGCTGGACTCCCCCCACTCGCCCAGCACCTGCTCCGATGTCCTGAGTGCTGTGGTGTGGGCCCAGGCCGACAGCGGAAGGGGCTCCGAAACCGACGCCTGCGACCATTCGCCGGACGCTTCGGAAGCCAGCCTCAGCCTGCTGGAGGCAGGGTTGGAGGCGGAGGAGGAGGGCGATGTAGAGAGTATGAGCTGGGCCACGGCTGTGGCCCTGGCCTGGCTAGAGCATCGCTCTGCTGGCTTTTTTGTGGAATGGGAGCTGCTGGCGGCTAAAGCGGATTGCTGGCTGCGTGGTCAGCAGCTGCCCGAAGGCCTGGACGTGGCTGCCCTGAAAGGAGCAGCCCGCCAACTTTTCCTGCTGCTCCGCCATTGGGATGAGAACATCAAGCTGAACATGTTGTGCTACAACCCGAATAACGTGTGACGAGCAAGCCAGGCTTTCGCTCGTACGAGGGCAATAAAGAGAAAATGGATTCCAGGAGTCCCGGTTGTTGAGGAGGTTCTTTCACGGGCTGGGAATATAAAAGTAGGATTTTGCTGATGATGGAGAGCTCCAAGAAACATTCAAGGCCGTTCTCAGCCCCCATTCAGTATGCTGCTTTACTAAAGGTGTACAATCAAGGTAACAGGTAGTCCTCGACTTATGACGATTGAGCCCAACTGTCAGGGCTCTGGTAGTTACCCCCATTTAAAGCATGAGTCTCTAGCCAGATTCTCAAAGCTCAAAGATTTATTAGGAGAAAACATGCCGGTGCTGCCTGGGTGTAGCCGACTCTGAGACACATCACTCATTGTCACCCTTGACCCTGGTTTTCCCCCACCCCCTGGGTGTATCATAATTCATATTCTCCAATGGGACACATCCATAGCCAAAAGTCATCAATCATCCTCTCCAGTTAGAGTTTTGCACTGGCAGAAACTTCGGTCGCCTGGAAACTATGAAAACGCTGATGTTTTGGTTTCACAAGCTTCTGCACTGCTTCCCCCTCCCTTTCTGTTGGCAACTCTAAAAGACCAGAGAAATATTTTATCAGTTGGCACAAACATTTCTGTTGCCAAGCAAGACGCAGGTGAGTTTCCCCCCATTTTACGATCTTCCTCGGCACAATTGTTAAGTGAATCACTACAGGCAGCAGTGATATGCTACCGGTTCGGCCCGGTTCAGCCGAACTGGTAGTTTAAAAAAAAAAAAAAGCCTCCAATCAGCTTGAGAGGAGGGGAAAAAAAGCCTCCAATCAGCTGAGAGGAGGAAAAAAATCCCCAATCAGCCGAGAGGAGGAAAAAAAGGCTCCAATCAGCTGAGAGGAGGAAAAAAAGCCTCCAATCAGCTGAGAGGAGGAAAAATGCCTCCAATCAGCTGAAAGGAGGGGGTGGAAAGCCTCCAATCATCTGAGAGGAGGAAAAAAGCCTCCAATCAGCTGAAAGAAGGAAAAAAGCTTCCAATCAGCTGAGAGGAGGAAAAAAGCCTCCAATCAGCTGAGAGGAGGAAAACATGCCTATCAGATGAAAGGATAAAAGATGGAAAAGCGCATGGGAGGGTGGGAGAGTCGCTCCTAGCTTTTCGTTTCTACATCCTCTCAGCTGATTGGCTTGTTAGCACACCAATCAGCACGCGCAATTACTGACTGAACCGGCAGCAACTGAAGTAGGATCCCACTACCGACCACAGGCATTAAGTTACTAACACGTTTGTTAAGTGAATGCTGACTTTGCTCGTCAGAAGGTCATAAAAAGGTGATCACATGACCCCACTGTGATCGTCATAAATACGAACCAGTTGCCAAGGGTCCCAATTTGGATCATGTTGTTGTGGGGAGGCTGCAACGGTTCAGTGAAAAACGGTGACAAGTCACTTTTTTTTCCCCGGTCCCCTTGGTACCTTCGAATGGTCACCAAGTGGATGATTGAAAGTCAAGGAACTAAGAGATCACTTACCAGAAAAAAAAATTGTCCACTCTCAACCATCTGCCCATTGTGTGATTTTGGGGGGGGGGGGGAACAGAAAGATTGGTATACGATTAAGCACAGTGGAAAATGCCACTCTCAAATCAGCCACAGATCTTTTTAGCTATCAACCCAAGTTGAAAAATTGGCCGAATGGAAGCAATTTGCAATGACACCTGTTCGCCTTCAGAGAATATAGGAGAGCCTCCGTGCTGTGCCAAATCACTGACCCAGCTTACCACGTCTTGCTGCTTCTGATGACCTACATTTTCTGGGCATTCATCCAATTCTCAACAATACCCTAAAAGGATGCCAGGATTCCTCCTGGAGCCTCTACATCCGAAGGTGGCCTTTGCTGCTTCATGATCCAGTCCTTATTTAGTTTCCCGATCAGGGCACCGTGTCACAAACTGCAATTAGTTTTTTATTACAATAGGGGTAATCCTTGTTTAGCAGCTGCCTTAGGTAGCAACCATTTGCAAATACGTCAGTAATAAAGGGTAGCACCTTCAGCCACCGTGCCCATTTACGACAACAAAAGTTCAGTTTGAAGCTGACTCTGGTTTTGAGACCTAGTCAGTTTCCGCTGGCCAAAGGTTTCTAAAAGCTCAGCTCAACTTGCTCTTAGCATTTTTTAGAGAAACCCTCAGCTGTGAAGAAAAGCAGCTCAGAAAGAATGAGCTTGTTTAAATAAACTGTCCACCCTGTGAGGAGGCAAAGAAAAGGGGAAATGGAGGGGAAAACTGGTCAAGCCCCGTACAAGACAATTTTATCTGAATGAGATGGCAGCAAATACCAGTCTTTGCAGTGTCTCTCTGACTTGTGTATTTATTTAGTGACCATTTCACTTAATGACCAAGTCTGACTACGCATTTTCGATTGTCCTTGGGCTGGGACTGGCACCCTAGGAAGAAACACTAGACACGTTACATACTTATAGTTTAGTTTACTTTATTGTCATTGCACCTCGTACAACGAAATCAAACACCATCTTCAGTGCACATCATGACCATGAGCATGAAAATAAACACAAACACACATCCTTCACCCTTCACACATTGAACCGGAAACCCCCGACACCACACCAACACTGCACTATACAGCAGAATTCAAGAGCTGGGATAGAAGCTGTTTTTCAGCCTATTTGTCCTTGTTTTTATTATCCTGTGCCGTCTGCCAGATGGTAATAGTTCAAAAAAAGGGTTCCCAGGATGAGACGGATCTTTGAGAATGTTCTGAATTTTCTTAAGGCAGCGGGAGCTATAAAGCTCTTCCAAAGAGGGGAGAGGGCAACCCATGATCTTCTAGGCAATGACGTTAACCCTCTGGAGTGCTGTCCTATCTGCCACTGTGCAATTGGCAAACCATACAGAGGTGCAGCATGTTAAAATGCTCCCTATGGTGCAGCGGTAGAAGGTCACCAGCAGTTTCTCATTCAGTTGTTGTTTTCTGAGAAGCCTCAGGTAGTATAATCTCTGCTGGGCCCTTTTGACCAGGGCTGCAATGTGAGCACCCCAGGTCAGATCCTCTTTTAGGGCAATACCCAGAAACTTAAAACTGGCCACTTGTTCCACTTGGTCTCCATTGATAAGCAAGGGCTGGGTGTCTGGTCTGTTCCTTCTATAATCCACTATAAGCTCCTTGGTCTTATAGGTGTTGAGGACCAAGTTATTGTCTCCACACCACGAAAGCAAGCGGTCCACTTCATCTCGGTAGGCAGATTCACCCCACCCCACCCCGGAGATGAGTTCCACCACTGTTGTATCATCTGCAAATTTAGCAATAGTATTACTAACGTGAGTGGGAATGCAGTCATGCACAAATATAGTATAGAGTATAGAGTAAGGGACTCAACACGCAACCCTGTGGTGTACCAGTGTTAAGAATAAGGGCTGAAGAGGTATGATTACCTAATCTGACCCTCTGTGAGCGGCCAGACAAGAAATCCATAATCCAAAAACAGATTAAATTAGAAAGCCCAAGGTCCAGAAGTTTAGACACTAGTCTGTGTGAAAGAATTGTGTTAAACGCAGAACTAAAATCCACAGAAAGCATCCTCGCATAGCCCTCCCACTGAGCAGTGTGAAGAGTGATGACTATAGCGTCCTCTGTAGATCTATTTTTTCTGTATGCAAACTGGTGTTTATCAAATGTATGCGGAAGACCAGAAATGATGTGCCAGCAGACCAATTTCTCAAAGCACTTCAGGATGATAGGAGTGAGTGCCACTGGTCTGTAATCCTTGAGGTTATTGATAGGGAACTTCTTTGGCAGCAGAACAATAGTGGAAGCCTTCAAACGAGATGGAATAGTGGACTGGGATAAAGACCAATTGAAGATCCTGGTAAAGACTCCAGCCAACTGATCAGCATGGTCTTTAAGCACTTGGCCAGAGATACCATCAGGACCTTTCTTGGGTCCACAGCTCTCAGAATGCTCCTTACTTCCTGTTCCTCCACAATGAGGTGGGGACTATAATTGGCTGGTAGTTGTGTTTTATCTGTCTCTCACTTCAAAGAGAGGAAAGAAATAATTCAGTTCCTCTGCCAATGAAGCATCCCGCTCAGCAGGGATGACATTGTTTGGTTGATGGTTTGTAATTTGTTGAATCCCTTGCCACACCTGCCTCGTGTTATTGCTATAAAAATTATCCTCAATCTTCCTCTTATAATCAGTCTTGGCCTTCCGAATACCTTTCTTCAGATTAGCTCTGGCAGCGCTGTATCTTGCCCCATCACCGGACCCAAAGGCCTTGGTCCTGTCATGCAAGAGGCGCTGGACTTCCTTGGTCATCCAGGGTTTCTGATTGGGATAGATCCTAATACGTTTATCCACAGTGATAGTATCTGTGCAGTGTTTGATACAGCACGGAACAGTTGCAGTAGACACACACACTGGGAATTTTCAAGTCATCCCAACACTTCTTCAGCAGCTCCACCTTGAACATTATTAACTAAAAAAATAATACTCATTTAGCCTTTTTAGTTGCCAGCAGAAAGGGAGGTGGGGGAAGCAGTGAATTCCTCAAATGCCTTAGATAATTGCCTTGGCAGCCCAAAGCTGTCGATGTGCAAGAATATTACTGGAGAGCACGATTGATGACTCTTGGCTATGGATGGGTCCCATTGGAGAATATACATCCAGGGGGTGAGGGGAGGACCAGGGTCAAAGGGGAAATGAATGATGTATTTTAGTGTCGGCTGCACCCACCTAACACCAACATGGCCGCTTCTAATAAAATCAATTTTCTTTTCTCTGAAAGATGTGGCTAAAGACTTATGATTTGAATGGGGGTGGATTTGTTGAGAGTCCTGACAATTATATCTTCTCAGTTGCTGAATATAGGTAGTCCTCAACTTACAACAGTTCATTTAGTGAACGTTAGTTACAACAGCACTAAGAAAAAGGAACTTATGACGGTTTTCACATGACCCCTGCAGAACCCCTATTCTTTTGATCATGTTCAAAAAAATCAAAATCCAGACTCTTGGCAAGGGTCATATTTATGATGGTTGCAGCGTCCCAGGGTCACGCGATCCCCTTTTGCGACCTTCTGACGAGCAAAGTCCATAGGGAAGCCAGATTCACTTAACAACTGCAGTGA